ACTACACCAACTACAGCTACTACACCAGCTACAGCAACTACAGCAACTACATTAACTTCACCAACTACACTAACTACATCAACTACAGCAACTACACTAACTACACTAACTACAGCTACTGCACCAACTACATCTACTACATCAACTACACTAAGTACACCAACTACAGCTACTACACCAACTACACTAACTACACCAACTACAGCTACTACACCAACTACAGCTACTACACCAACTACTGCTACTACACCAACTACAGCTACTACACCAACTACAGTAACTACAGCAATTACATTAACATTCTCATAGTGGGCTTAGTGGTCACTTAATGTCTCTTTATTCGTGACGGTTATCATGAACCCATTACCTGAATTTTACTACTTATCATTCTTCATGTTATCGAATAGAAACAGGAATTAGCAAGAACTCAGACAAGTTCCGAGCGATTGAGAAAGCTTACATATGTGGTTGTAACTTACAGTGTGTAAATATGTCGATAGTTTGAGTTTCCTCGCAGATTTATTACAAAAATTGTACTTTAAAAACGAACTAAAATATTTATAACGCTCTGATCTCGTGACTGATGACGTCATGTCTCTCTTTTGGCAATGAAAAAAATTGTCAGGTAGAACACTACTTTCCTGCACATTTTGTTTGCCGTATGATGAACCTCTCTACAGCCCTCGGCCTAGTTTTCCGACTTTTTCGCTCATGTTCATTGCCCCCTTAAATTTGCCCCCTTAAAAGTGGTAGGGGTAAAAGTTAGTTATAATCATTTTACACTATAAAAAGCTTCATGTTTAAACCTTAAAATAATTTGATTAAAAAGGGTTAGCTTTTTCGTCTTTCTTAGCTGCCGCATATTTATACGACGAAGTCGCGGTTCGAGGTTGTCCGCTATCATGAGAAGTGATTTCATTTGCTTTAATGAAATGGATGGATTAAAATTGATTACTCTTTTTGATATACAAATCTTGTCTAGTGACATTCAAACACAGGGCGCCCACATAATCTGTTTGTGTAATGGATTGTCATTTTATAGTAAAAGCACCGTTGCATTTGACGTTTGCTCCATTTATAGCGACATATCGCTAAATACGTATGTACTAAATATATGTTAAATAAACGTTGAATTACCTTATCTGCGGTGTTCTGTCGTCCTTTTGCCTGTAAAGCAATTTTTGTTTAGCTATTTTAAAGGATTTTGAGTACTTCTATCATTAGGAACAGCAAACTAAGAACCCCAAATCCTTCAAATTCTTTAGGTATCAGCTGAGGAAAATGGGGCCGATTTATCCAGGGACTGACGATTGATAGCGGGCTGGAAATTGGCCCAAATTAGTTTCATCCCTTATCTCTTTATTATACCTTAGCTCTTGTTATTCCTCCACAGTCATTACCTTCACTGGTTTTCCGTAGCATTAGATAATATTTTGTAACACGATCACATGACTTTGATTTCTTTAATTGTACAGTGCACAAAGGCGATACGCGGCATCAACTGCAAAATTTAACTACAATCAATCTCGTCAGTAACACAGGTAAAAAAAGAGAGAGAAAAGAAAAAGAAAAGAACAACGACTACCAAAAATTTGCCTCGAAGAGATTCGAACCCGGAACCTCAGAAATAGCTAATCCGTAATTCAGCGCTTCTCTCCACTGGACCACCTCCGAAATAACTAACACATCAGTTTTAAGAGAGGTATATATTCTTTCTCAATGGTGATTGACAGTTTTCAAGAATGACCTTTTCGGTTTCCGTGTAGAATTATATCTTTAACTGATCAAAGCTAGGTGTAAAGCTCACAAAAAAAAAACATTGATACTCTTTCACACTTGGTCCATGCAAAGCCGTTTGAGGAATTTATGAACTATCGATCGCGCGCGGCTACCGACTGAACCGTATGACCATACGATCGGTCGGGGAAAACATATTAACACAACATTGTTCATCGTTATTAACATCGTTTTAAATTAGGGTAGCAAACCACTTGGCTTTTAGGGTTAGAAGAGCTGCTACATGACCTCTCTTCCCGGAATCAAGAAAAATAGTATGGCCGCCAGATACATCCTTATAGTTTTTAAAAGTTCTCCTTTATTAACAAACGTTGAACATTTATTTCGGGAAACAAACAGTTAAAGACACTGAAAAAATGCTGTACCTTTTTTTCCTACATTGAAAATAAATATATAATAATATTAATTTTTAAGAGTTCCACCTTAGTTCTTAACTAATAGCTTCAAATACACTATTCAACCATGCCTAATGTGACAGCCTCAAGAATGAAATCACCGCCCTTAAGCGAAATTTTGAAGAGCTGCAGCAGTCCATGCATGGGAGACTTTAACCTCGACCTTCTCCAGTACAACCATCATAGACTAACTCAAGAATTTGTCGACACTCTATTTTCGCACGCATTTATTCCTCTCTTCCCCAATCCAACGCGCCTCACCTCTTTTTCTGCAACTCTAATCGATAATATATTCACAAATAATCTTTCTCCAAATTGTTTAGATGGTATTGTTCTAAACGATTTATTCCATCAGTTACCGGTTTTTGCTTATTTTTCTGACAAAACTCTGACGCGCGATGGAGAAAATAAAGTATTCATACGCAAGATTACTGAAAAAAAAATTGCGTAAATTCAACGAAACCGTTTCAAACACATGAACTGGGCCTCATTTCTTGATGAAGATCCCAATATGGCTTACAATAATTTTAAAGACGAATACTCGAGAGGCTACAATGCCTGCTTCCCTTTAAAGGTCGTTAGGGACCTTAAGATACCCTGGACGCGGCGGTAAAGAGAACGTGGGTTTGCCGGAGAAAGCCTGGAGCGAGGACGCCGCCACCTTGGAAGGAAAAAAAATTAAGGTGATTCCCTGGTTTTGCACTGCGCATCTCTTACTGCGCATAACAAGATGGCCTCCGTAAAAAAGAGCATGTGAAGTAACATTATTAAAATGAAGTTGACTGAAGAGAAACGCTATTGCAATTTTTGCTTGCGGTTATTTCTTGCCGAGGTGAGACTGAATGTGGTGGGAATGTACATAACGTAAGCAGTACGCGTGTTGCTGAGTTCGACTTCCTCACGGAGAACCTCGATGGTGGATGTTTAATTTGTGCTTATTCACTCTGATTTTCATTTAAACGCTTTCTTTATCACATTGTGTCCTAAATGTGATATCTCGATGTAAATTCTGTAAAAACGGATTTTTTAATA